GCTGGTTCCATAACTTGGCTATTGTGACTGCACTGTTATAATGCCTCCATTATAGTTTGTTGATTTTAGTTCTTTTGGATAAAGTAAGAGTAAAATAGCTCATCACATGGCGGTTCCATTCCTAGCCTTTTGAGGAATCTGATAATGATTTCCATAGTGGTTGTACAGAATTACAGTCCCACCAACAATGTCTGTGTTATAACACAATGGAAGTCTGCTCAACCATAAATGAAGGTCTGCTCAGCTATGTCATCTGTTGGTAAATAGATGGAACGGGAGCACATCATGTTAAGTGAAGTAAGCCAGACTCAGAAAGTTAAGGATTGAATACTTGCTTTCATATGTGGAAGCTAGAGGAAATCAATCGAATTATACTATGTGCATATGCAAATATATCCCAATGAATCCCACTTTCCTGTATAATTATAATGCACTAATTTTTAAAAAATAACAGAAGGGTGAACAGTAGAAGAAAGGAATGGGGACCAAGGGGAGGGAATAAGAGGCAAAAGAGGAAGTACTGGGAAGTACTGGGTAATGAAATGGAGCATATTTGTGTTAGGAATAAATATGTGACGATGAACCCACTATTATAATCCACTTTTTTTTTTTTTTTTAAAGAAAGTAACTGGTTTGGAGCTCCTCCACGAACCAGTCCCTGACTTTGTGGGCAGGGTGCAGGGAGCGGGGTTGGAAACCTGGAGGCCTGGGGTCCCCAGGTGGCAGCGTCTTCGTGCATCCCGCGCGCTCAGTTCCCAGTTCCGGCTGGCTGCCTCAAAGTTTCCCAACTCGCAAGAGCAGCTGCCGCTTTCTCTTGCCTTTGTTTTCCCCCTCTCAGGATGGAAAATGAATTTCGAGCATCGCTGCGGAGGCTGCCAAGTAATTGGAAAACATGTCGAACAATGTGTCTGGTTGCTCCGCGGGGGCGCGGGGCCCCCCTTCTGGTGGTTTCCTTGTCGTTCCGGGAGAGGACGAGCAGCACCCTCCCCAGGCCGTGAAGTCACCGCCACACCCAGGGTGGGAGAAGCTGCAGAAGCAGCTTGTGTGGAGAGAAGGGTGTCATTTGGGCACCTATATAAAACAGGCCGATATCAGAGCCGCAGGGCATACCGCAAACAGAAGCAGAAGCTGTCCGGGTGTACGCCCACTACGTGGAGGAAGCGCTGACCTATAAGTCATCAGAGGCGGATCTATGCCCAGCAGCCAGAGCTTTTACCTCCTAAAGCCTGATGTGGAGTCAGACCCCACAGGGGCTGAAACACAGGGCCTTCTCTGCTCTCCCCACTCCTTCTCCACCTCCAGCATCCTCCCCCCCATCCATCTGCCCCAGGCCAATTCTCCTAGGCGGAGCACCAACCTGGCAGCTCACAGGGAGCATCTGCTTCCAACATTTTGAGCCCAACACGGCCCATTTTTATGTGCTGATTTGGCATCCTTGCCTAACCTCCTTCTCTGGGAATGAACCAGTGCCCCACCCCATCTAGCAATGGATACCCAGGACACTGGTTGTGTCTTCACTTTGGGAGTCCCCACGACATTTAGTGCAGTTCGTGAGAGCAGCGTTTTAAGTCCCCCTTACATCTCACTCTACATTGACTGTCTCTGGAGGCTCCTGCTTATAGCTGATCTAAACAAACCCATCTCCCCTTTTGCTCCCTGGCTAGGCTTCGCATAAGGTCTGTCTTGGATGATATATACCAAAAGGCCCAAGTTGGGTCTAGGTCCCTATCTGTCTAGGATTAAAAAGGTCCTATGAGAAGGGACACACACCTAGATGATAAAGACAGACCAATGCCCCTCCCCAACTAGCACTTCAAGAAGTTCCTGGGTATGACCTGTACCTGTGCAAGCCTAGACCCTGCATACCTGCCCACCTCCCTCTCCTAGCCCTCCCATCAGGGAGAGATCCATGACCCAAAAAGCCTTTATTAGCTCTTTCAGCTCCATTTAACTACACAAATGGTTTGGTCACAGCTGACTGGTCCCAAATTTGCCAGTGATTTTCTTTTAATTTACCGTGGCTCAGTCCCCCTGTAACACAGGTAAAGGAGGCATATTTGTTTCCAAACTCCCCTCCTGGGGTTAATCATGCACAGAACAAAACTCCATTTGAGCCACTTAATGATTTCATTTCCATCCTAGGTTTAAAGGCATTGTAGCTATAATACTAATGTGGGTCCCTCTATCCCCAAACTCCAGATGTTTGTGTATGCTCAAGAAAGTGAGAGCTTGTCATTGTTTAACCATTCCCTACCAGGCCAGAGCTGGCAATAGTAAGTATCTGTCACTTTCTGCATGGGATGGGCCCCCCTCTTTTCCTAGGCACATCTTCTCTCTCATAGGAAGCCATATTTGTCTCATGTGATTATTTTTACACCCACCTGTAGGATCTGCAGTAACCTCTCAGCCTCTTCCCCGCTGCCATATGCTTCTCCCCAGCCTCCCTTGTATTCCAGACATTCAGAGCCAGGCCTATTTCCCTAAACATCATCACATCTCTCCATATGAGCATTTCCTATACCTTGAGGACTCCTCCTTTATCATAAGAGCCTGGCAACACCTCCAAAACTCTGCTTAAACATCACCACTGTGGCAATCAGCTGATTTTTTAACTCTCTAGCACAGAAAGTCAATCCCACCTCTGTTCCACCATCTATATTCTTTTGGCTTATTTTCACACAGTATCTCATTTTGGTTTGCATGGCAGCCCCTCCACCCTCTCTGAGTTCCCTGGGGGTAGAAGATTCATCTGGATATCCTATATTCTAGCATTAACACTAGGTATAAATGCTCGATATGTTTTATTTGAATGAATAGCACCTATATCATTTTATGTATGTGGCTATGAATTATATTCATAACTAAATAAAATATGCAAAGGCAGTCCATCTGCTTAGGCTTCCCAAAAGGTGCTAAAATCTATACCAGGCCCTGCACAGGAGCTGACTCAGGAAAGACCAAGTCACTGTCAGAAAATGTGGTTTTTGCATGCAAATGGCGCCATCTGGTGGTTTGAGTCAAAACAGCACGTCAGCTTGTCATAGTGGACAAAAGGCTTCACCCCTGAGGTCCTGAGATAGGTGTTCCCTTCAGAAGGCTCCCTACCCTCTCCTACCTCTCTTCTGCTGAGATCTAGGCAGGGCCCTTCCTTAAACAGTCAAGGGCCTTTCCTTGCCAGCAGCTCTTGGATGTGCAACTTCTCCACTTTGAACATTCTCCAAGCTTGCACCTCAGTTTATACCTGGAACTCAGCCTTGTGTCCACCCTCGATGGGTTCAGGACCCAAACTGAACTTCTCCCTTTAGCCTTGGTCTATCCTATCCTCAGGACCTTTATCATCACTTGTCCATGAAACACATATTGCTAGTCACCTATCCTGTCTCAAATCCACCCTCTTCTCACCTCTCCTTGGCCTAGCCCATACCAGCACCCTTTCTAATGTTCCAGGAGGATCCACATTGCCTTCAACATATATTGCTGAAAATTGCCCATCATCTCCCCTCAAATTTGTCAGCCACATGTCCCCAGAGCCAGACTTCCAGCATTGGTTGGATGAGTAGGTGGGTAGATGGCAGGCATAGCATCTGTGCCAACACCAGGGGAGGTTGTTAAATAGCTTGTCTCTTTATTAGCAGTTCAGCAAGAAGATTCCAGTGCTACCACTGTCAAAATGAAGGGCTCACCCACTGGAGTCTCTCTGCCCAGGTCTGGTCACCCTTCAGGTCAAGCGGGAGGTGGACTTTCTTCTGACACAGGCTGCTCCTTGACCCTGAAAGCCTTCAACAGGGAAGCAGACAAATGTTTAAGGGGCGCATCATGCAGATGTGATGTCTTCTTGTAAGCCTACTGTTTTTCATATTCTCACCAGGAAAACTCACAAAAGAAAAGTGGCAGTGGTATATCAGACTATTGGGATTGAAGCCTGGCTCTGATTATTCTAACTTCAGAAGGCCCTGAGAGTTGCTTACACCCATCCCAGCACCTGTGATTTCTCATCTCCAGGAATATTAGCAAACAATTGATGTGCGTTTACCATGTGCTAGACAGCCCCCCGAGGACAACCCTCTGACGTAAACACTGCTATTGTAGATGAAGAAATAGAGGCACAGAAGCACCTGTCATGGGTCAGCTGGATTAAGACCCTGGCTTGGTTTACCCTCTACTGTCTGTAAAATGGTTGATTTGGGATCAAATTAGAAACCTTGACAAAGCGTCTTATGCAAAAGCTGGCATATAGTAAGTGCTTGATAAATGCTAACATTTTGTCTCCATAGCCTTCTTTAAGTATATAAAGGCTGGCTGTGAGTAAATCATGCCTTTAACCCCCACAACAACCAGAGCAGTTTTTCATCCCAGCAGGGATGCACTGACTATTTCTAGCAAAGATCCTGTGTTGGGATTGCCCTGCCATTGACCTTCTACCTTCTGAAACTACATGAACAGCCACTTTTACAACAACTAGTACTGAGTATAATCAAAGAGACCATGTATGACATGTACCAAAAGTCATGTACAATATCCCTGGTTGGTGCCAGGCCCAAAATCGATTTACCCTCTCTCTGTGATCCTGTGACTCAAAGTGAGGTTGGTAGACCAGCATGAGGCATTACAGAAGCCCGAGCAGCACTGCCCAGGAACTATTAGAAATGCAGAAATGCAGCCCCACCAAAACCTCAAATATGATGTACTAAGCCTGTGAAGGATTGAAAAATACTGCTCTCTGGCATCACAGTTAAGAGAGACAGAGAGGCCATTCTGAAACTTAGTGATATGTCCTTCCAGAAATTTAAGAGAGTCTTTTGTAATAACTTAACAGCAGTTGCCGTCTCCCTGGGCTTCATTGCCCCAGAGCACATCTGCCCCACCCACCCACACACACTGATAGAGATATAAACTATGCCTTATTATGGAGTTCCCCATCCCAGAACTCTTTCTTACTACCCAGGATAACCATCTGCTCAGCCCAGTTCCTCACCTGCTTGCTCTCTCACCTGTGACTCTCAGCAGTTTGAGAGGGAAGATCGGAAACTTGTGTCCTGACATGAGTCGGTCCTAAGATGGGAAATGCTGTAGGAGACAGGAGAGGGGTGGGGTGGAGAGGAATCTGCTGGGTGGCAAAACCTATCCAAACCAAATACCCAGATGACAGCACAGGGGCAGGGGCTGCAGTGGGCAGGATGTGGCTGGGCCATCACCACCTGTAGACCTAGGAATGAAGTCCTAGGAAGAGAGCCACAGCCCAGAGCCCTTCTGTGAGTTGGAAGGCACTGTGGGAGGCCTATGGAGCCACCACCATGTATAAAACAGGAGAGAGAACAGTAGCCCTGGGAACTGCTTGTCCCTGCCCTTGGTGTTAGAAAAAACACTAAAAAGAACATAGCTGGGTTTGGGCAGGAAATCCAGCAGTGGCTCCCACCCCACCTACCCCAGGTGAGAAATGCAAAGCATCCAGTCTCAGTGACTTACCTTCGTCTCACTTGCTCTATTCGATCTTGTATGACGTCATCCATCATCTCACTTGGCACTTGGAAGACACGGGTATGGCTGCAAAATGTGATTCAGACATGGGGATTCTGAGCTTCTTTTGAACTAGGCATAGTGAAACTGCCAGAGTTGAGATCATAGGAACAACGCTGTTGCCTATTGCTATGAACTTTGAAGCTGACTCCTCACCGTTCTCATGTAAGGTTGTTTTGATTTTGTTTTATTCTGTTCTGGTTTTTGTTGTTGTTGTTGTTTTTGTTTTTAACTAACCAACTACTGGTGAACCACCCAATCATGCTGAGCAGGCAGCAAATATTCCTAAGGAGAGTTAAAAAAAAAAAAACAAAAAAGCTTAATCCTTACTAATGCCAGCAAGACATTGGTCTTGTGGAAATCTCAATTCCCCTCTAACTTTATTTTCAGCTCTTATGATCAGTATCATACCATATATACTATGATTTAGAGAATTTTCTAGAAAATTCTGTCACAAGGAAGCTGCAGACACCTCCTTGTTATCTTTTCTGCTTGATTTCACCAAGCTGGACTTGCCTCCCCCTTTCTAGCCCACTTGGCACCCTTTCAGATTCTGAATCCCAGTTCCCTTCAGAAACCTGTGATCTGTCCACTGAATACCCCACTTCAGTGCCCATCAACACTGCCCTCCCAAGGCAATGACCTTTTCCTGGTGCTGTGGGCATTTGAAAGTGACAACAGCATTGATACTGCCTCCAATGGTCCTCTGCCATAAGGAGGTAAAGGTGTAATCCTGAATATGGAGCCTACAAGGCAGAGACAGATCAGCACCCAGATGAGGAGATGAAAACAAGGAATTGTCCCCAATTGAGGGAGGAATTCCCAGCCTGGGAGGGAAAGGAGTGCTCCAGAGAAGAAGGGGTCACAGCCTTGAACCCTGGATACACATGGGATACCATGGGTACCTGACTCTCCTGGTCTCTGAAACTCTCGTCCTATCCCCTGTTTCTCCAGTAATGCCTAGTTCAAGAGCCAGTCCTGGCAAAAGGCCTGCTATGGAGTTTCTCAAAAATCCTGGGCAGCACAGCCCAGCATATGTGTGACCTACGTCCCCCATGCTGTGCTCACAGATACTCCTTAGGACTTCCCTAACACTATCTTTAACTTTCTCACACCATATCTACCAGGTCAACTTTTAACCCTCTGAAATTAATGACTGTGTCTTGTTCTTTTCTCTCCTCCAATGGGGCCAGCAAACATTGGTGGTGAGTACCTGTCTATTAAACCATTTGTGTGGGTGGGAAACAGGAAGATGCTGTTGGTTTAAAATCTCCATTGAAAATCCAGAGTAAAAAACTTGTATGTTGAAAATCTACTGGTTCCTATATCCTTTTTCTAAAGCTTAAATCTAATTAGGCTATACAGCAAAGGTTTTAAAATATTGGAAGATGATGTGCATATTATCCAAGAAATACAACACTTAGAATTCCATAGTGCAACTACTATGGAAAACCTTGGATTACAATCAACAGCATTAATGATTTAAGAATCCCTGGCAAGTTTCTCATTCAAAAAGCTCCTTCCCAGAGAGTTCTCAAATTCCACCATTGGTTATCCCTTCCTGTTATGTGGTTACTGCACATTTAAATTCTCCTAAAATGTAGGTGCCACTGGAAAACCTGATATCCTGAAACAAAAATACATGTCTTAAGAAATACAGCCTCCTTGAGAGCAAAGAACAAAACCAAAGATTGGTGCAGAAGAGTTGAAAGATGAGAGTATTCTTCAGTTTTCTATAGACCCATTTAAGCCCACAGTCTGTCTACTAGGAAGGGATTTGGAGTTGTCCAAAGCTTCAGCCAAATTCAGGGACCAGAAAGGAAGTTAAATGCCTCTGCCCAAAGAGGGGCAGCTTCACACCAGCTCTCTCTTCCCTTAGTGTTAGCATCATCACAACCCAGAGAAAGGCTGGCCTGCAGAGAATAACGAAGCCACCATCATGTGGTTTTGTCACAGCATTCTAGCCTTGGGCACTGGGAAACCACCACACACCTCAGTTGCAGAGGAGGGCTTTGACTTTTGCATTTTAAAGATTATTTTTTCGGGTAACTCTTAAAGTACAGGCACTTCTGAACAATTCAAGTGCAAAAAAATGACAGAAATCTGAAATGTATTCAGAAGCATTTAGGGAATGGAGAGCAAGCCCAGTTTCCCAACCCCTCAAGTCATTTAAAAATATACAAATGATCTGAGCTTTCAAGACAGCAAAAATATTCCCTTAAGACCCCAAAGCAAGACTGAGAAATTTTGTGTAACTAATTAAAACAAATAAACAAACAAAAAAGACTGAGAAATTTCTTAGCCAAAGGAGATGGCATCTCTAGAGAAGAGCGGTTGTAGGTTTGTGTTGGCCCAGTGGGTCCTGGAGAGAAGTACCTGTGCTTTCTCATCGGCCCTCCCCACCTCTTTGCTCAGGGCAAATGATGCTTTACCTCCATCTTATGAACTGAATCCTTGTTCTCTCCTCCAGTACCTCTTGACTCTGGTTTGCTAATAGATCAGACTTCGAAAGTTGGTGCTTCACCTAGGAAATCCAGGCAGGGGTCCATGTGATTACTGACCAGCATGGGCCCCCATAGCTGGGAATGAGCTGAGCCCTGGCCCAGCATCCCTCATAGTGGGTCATCCTGCCTCTCCTCAAACCCTCATTCCCAGGGTAATCATCTCAAACACAGTTACCACATCTCTGGTCACGTGCACATCTTGGCCATGAGTAGGAGAAGAGTTGGTGGACATCTTCTCCTTTATGTCCTGGGAAGCCTCCTCTTCTGTCTGAAAAGGGAGTAATTTCCTCCTGAGAGTGTCATTCTCCTTTTTATTTTTTCTTCGTACCAAGTATTGTGCTTAACCACATCCCCACATCCCCAGCCCTCTTTATGTTTTATTTTGAGACAAGGTCTTGCTAAGTTGCTTAGGGGCTTGCTAAGTTACAAAGGCTGCCTTTGAACTTGTGATCCTCCTGCCTCGTGGCCTCCTGAGCCTCTGGGATTATAGTTTTTCATGACAACACCAAACATCACTCCCCTTTAATTCTGAGTCTTCCTCTCTTATTCCTTCTCTTTTCTTCTCCATCATACCACACATAACATGCATCCATGAACATATACTCCATACCCGACAGTTCCTGCACTAAGCTCCTCTGTTTCTACTCTCCTTGAGGTCCCAGGGAACTCCCCAAGTCCCTGGCCCTATCTCGCAGTGTTCCTGAGACATGTGCCTGGTTTATGCTGATGCTAACACATATCTTACCAGGACAAGAGCCCCATTGTCTTTGTGGACATTTGGATGAATTAGATTCAACTCTAAGCAGGTATCTCATAATGAACTTGAGTTTCCCAGTTTTATGAAGAGAGAAGCCTAGATCCTTGGCCCCCCAAAACTATCTCTCTAGATCTTTGGATACCCAGAATCAGAGAAGTATCCTACTCACCTTTTTCAACCAGTGCTCTACTACCGATACAGCCTCACTTTCCACAACTTCAACATCCTGCAACAAATAGGTAATTGGATAATCTCAGAAAACCTAGAACCCAGCCCCCACCCCATGTCTCTTATCCAAACATAATACTTTAATCTCTTTTTGAAGTGCAGTGGGGGTGCAGTGGGGAGAAGGTAAATGGGGAAAAATTTCACATGGCCACCACCAAAACCACTTACCGAACTCATCCTTGGTGGGAAGGGGAGCCCTATACCTTTCCGGGCGAGAATGTACAAAATCCATGTTGTAATGATCATCTTTGAACTTATACTAGGCCACCTTCTTAGCTCCCTCCTTCCATTGAAGCTGCCTGAGAACTTCTATAGGACAGAGAGGTCATTGGAGGGAAATGCCCATCTGATTGGCTGACCAATGATGATGTGACAATGACTTCTCTTAATCTCCAGGCTCAGAGTAGAGATGGAGAAGAGAGACTAGGAAATTCCCATCTTAGTGATGATCCTAGCTCAGAAGGGTGGTGGGGAATGAGAAGTAAGGGTAAACTATTGCCAGTAAGAGCCCAAGAAGACACCAAGGAGAATTTACCCAAACCATGGATAGAAAATGTTAGGGTGGAGCCTGGAGTTGGGGGTAGATTGATGACTGGTTCAAGTCCTGAAAAATGCTCAAAAAAGAGTTTTTTCAAATCAAAAGAATAAATCTGTGGCAAAAATTACCCGAGCCCTCTAGATAGTCATTCACCACAATGTCAGAGGTATTTCCTGTTCTCTTTATGTATAGGGGCACAACAAAGTTTGTTATCCATCCAGAAAACACCAAATATGGGACAACAATTTTCTCTTCAGGGATATTTGCTTTATTTTTTGTCTACTTTGTTCACCCAAGTGATTTAAACAATTAAAAAAAAAAAAAAAAGCAAACAATAAGAAGTAGGGAGTAAACAGTGAAAGCGTATTTCTTTGAAAGACATTTCCTGATGACTTTAGTTCATCCTGGGTGGAAAAAGAATAAAGTGAAAAGGACAAGGAGATCTCCTGTGACTTGAGACTTGGGGGCAAAACAAAACCTGATAAGCGTTCAGATAGCTACCCTTCCCATCTAGACTTTTTACCAGGAATTGAAAGAAGCTCGGAACATTCCCGAAGGACCCTGAGCCATGTGCAGCGGCTCTCAACAGCAGCTGGAGTTCAACTCAGTGGATTCTGAGACATTAGGCTACTCTCAAGGTCTCAGAAACTAGGCCTATAATTCTGTCTCTCCGTTAACTTGTTCCATGCCCTTGACCTGATCTCAGGTCCGAGTTTCTTTGCTCTTAAAATGAAAATAAAATGGGATCTCTAGTCTCCATCTGGCTCTAATCCTCTATCAATCTCCCCATTCTTATTCTTCTAAGTACTGTAGAAAACCTTTTTCTCTCTCCTCAATTTTCCCAGTATAACCACTATGTCTCCTCATTCTCAACAAATCACCTCAATTTTATGTCATCCCTGATTGGGGCAGAATAGGATAAACTGTGTTGAAAGTTGAGGAAACAAATGATCTTCCAAATCAAAAAGGTTTCTTTTGCACTTTCAAAAGCTCCAGTGCAAAGTAGGCAACTCTTCAGAACAGCTGTGCTCCACGTGGTGACTCAGAGATGCTGGAAACTTCCATTTTGCCGCTGCATGCCTTTCAGGATGTGTCCTCCTTTACAAAACAGGGGGAAAGAGCACACCGAGGGGTCAAATCAGCTCTTCTGGGTTTCTGTCCAGAGGCTGCTCTTACTTAGAGAGCCTTTGGGCTGGTACTAGCCACAGGGCCCCAACATATCTCCAAAAGAGACTGGAAATTGTACAGAAAACATTTATTGTCATTATATTTGTGTCTGCTACCACCTCCTAAAAATTATGTGTTCTTCCTTTTGAAATAATTTTATTTTTAATAGCAAAATATTAATATGATTCAAAAATCAAAACTATGTGAAAAAGATAAATTCAGAGAAATTTCATCTTCTCCCCTAGACCATTCTAAATCACTTCAGAAGTAAATTTTCATAGTTTCTAGGATGTGTATTCTGTGTTTATGTTATCAAAATGAAGCAGATACATAAATATACTCTTGCTTTTTTATTACTATATAAAAGCATTTAGTAAAATGTAAAAATATATGTGTACCCAGAAAAATTTTTGCAAATACACCAATTTGGCCACTTCCACATAAAGAAATGTATATTTCTAATACGCCAGCCAACTTTTGGGCAATACTTTCCCAATAGCATTTTTTACCTCACTTGCTATAGTTTAAGTTCTGCCTAGAAAGATACAGTATGTATTCTTTTCTCTCCAACCTCCTTCACTTAACATTATGTTGTTTCACGAATCTGTAGTTTATCATTTCATTTCCTAATAGTATTCTGTTCTATTACTGTAGTGCCAATTATCAAATTTATTATTAATATGCATTTTTATTATAACTAGCTTGATGCTTCTAAAAATAATACTACTAGGTCTTGGGTTGTAGCTCAGTGGAAGAGCACTTGCCTCTTCTGTGAGGCACTAGGTTCAACTATTTTATCCCAATCTATGATGTGGATTTTCACTTTTAGTATTGTCTTTTAAGGAATAGAGACTCTTAATTTTTATGTTTGTTTGTTTTTGTTTTTGTTTTTGGTGTGTGTGTGTGTGTGTGTGTGTGTGTGTTGCTAAGAATCAGACCCAGGACTTCTGCACGCTAGGCAGGTGCTGTACCACAGAGCTATATTCCCAGTCCTGAGGCTTAATTTTCAAAGTGAGTTTTATTGATTAAATATTATACAGTTCACCCATCATAACGTGTAATTAAATGATTTTAGTAGATTTATAGAATTATGCAACCCTCACAGCAATCCAGTGTTAGATCATTTCTACCACCCCAAAAATGTCTGCCATACCCATTTCCAGTTAATCACTGTTTCTATTCTCTGCCCCAGTCCACTTTCTACCTCAATAAACTTGCTTTGTCTGGACAGTTCATACAAATAAAATTATACCATAATGTCCCTGACTTATTTCATTGAGCATGATGTTTTTTGAGGGTTATCTACAGGGTGGTATGTATCCTAAATGTGTTCCTTTTTATCAAGGAGTAATATTCTACCGTATATATATACTACATTTGTTTACCCATTCACTAGTTGACAAGCATATAGATGGTTTCCTATATATATTTACATATATGTATGTTTGTGTGTGTGTACATGTGTTTTATTCTCTTGTATAGATTAGCAGGAATGTATTGGTAATTTTATGCTTAACATTTTCCCCTTTATGTTTCATGGTGCCATGGGTCAAACTCAGGACTTCATGCATGCTAGACAAGTACTCTACCATTGAGCTATATCCCCAGTTCTCTTTTTTTTAACAGATTTATTGAGACATAATTATATTCCATAAATTCACCTATTTAAAATATACAAGTCAGTAGTTTTCAGTATATTCAGAGATGTGCAATGATCACCTAGAGGTGATTGGATAGATCCAATTTTAGAATATTTTCATCACTCCCAAAAAAGACACTTTGTACCCATTAGCAGTCAAATCCCATTTCCCCCTAACCTTCCCTCAGCTCCAGGCAACCACTAATCTACTTTCTGTCTCTGTGGATTTACTTATTCTTACCATTTCATGTGAATAAAATCATACAATACTTGTTCTTTTGTGACTAATTCCTGCAACTTAACACAATGTTTTTGAGGGTCATTCACACTATAGCATATAGCAGTCATTTCATTTTCTTATTGAATACAAGTATTTCATTGGCTGGATATACCACATTTTGTTTATCCATTCTTTGGCTGATGGACATTTGGATTGTTTCTATGTTTTGGTATGAACAATACTACCATGAGCATTGTGTTCAGGTTTTTATGTGGATATGTTTTCTCTTGGTTTTATTCCTAGCAGCTGAATTGCTGAATCACTTGGTAGCCCTATGATTAACATTCTGAGAAAACTAAATGTTTTCTAAATGGCTGCACCACTTTAACTTTCCACCATCAGTACATGAGGGTTCCAATTTCACCACATTCTTGTCAACATTGTTGAATACATTACTCTGACTGTAGCCATCCTAGTGAGTGTGAGGTAGTGTCTCGTCATAGTTTTGATTTGTATCTTCCTAATAATTAATGATGCTAAGCATTTCTTCATGTGTTTAACAGCCATTTGTATATCTTCTTTGGAAAAATAGCTATTCAAATCCTTTGTCACTTTATAATTGGATTGTTTGTCTTTTTATTATTGAGTTGTAAGCACCCTATACATATTCTGTAATATATATAAAACATATGTAGTAGCATGATATATGGCTAGCAAACATTTTCTCCCATTTTGTGGACTGTATTTTCATATTTTTGGCAGCATAATTGGAAGTTTTGAATTTTGACAAAGTCCAATTTATCTATTTTTACTTTTGTTTCACGACTAAGAAACCATTGCCTCGTCTATTGATCATGAAGATTTACTCCTATGTCTCTCCAGAATTAAATAGTTGTAGCTCTTATGTTTTTTTATGATCCATTTTTAATTTTTATAGAATGTTTGAAGTAGTGTCCAGCTTCATCTTTTTGGATGTGAATGTCTCATTATCTCAGCACTGTCAAAAGAACATTCTCTATTGATTGTCTTGGCACCTTTGTCAAAAATCAATTAATGATAAAGGTAAGAGTTTATTTTTGGAGTGTAAGTTAACCTTTTTTTGCCTGACTATATGCAAATATCAGTTTTATGACCAGCTTTCTGGTATGTTTTGACATTGGAAAAGCATGAGTTCTCCAACTTCACTCTTCCCTTCTCCCCCAAGATTGTCTTTACAGGTTTCTTAAATTTCCATGTGACTATTACGATTAGTTTGTCAATTTCTATCCCTTCAAAAATCTGCTGGCACTTCATTAGGGATTGCATTAAATGTGTTCATCAATTTGAGGAGTATTATCATATTGACAATACTAAGTCTTCAATTCATAAAAATGGAGTATCTTTCTATTAATTTAGATCTTAAATTTCCTTCAGTGATTTTTTGAAGTTTCAATGTATAAGTCTTCTACTTCATTTGTTATTATTCTTAAATATTTATTCTTTTTCTTGCTATTGTAGATAGAATTTTTTTCTTAATTACATTTTGGATTTTTTTCATTGTTACTCTATAGAAGTACAGTGGATTTTTGAACAATGGTCTTGTACTTGTGATATTGTTGAACTCATTTATTGTAACCAATTTTTAGTGGTTTCCTTAGAATTTCTCTTTTTTTAATTAATCAACAAAGAAAGTCAAATATATA